GAATGTACTTGGGTGAAGTTAATTCCTTGACTTTATTATGCATTAAGTCAGAGGCCTCTAAAATCCCCAAGTACTTGTAGCCTTCTTCTGGTTTTGCCTGAAACAAAGTACATGGAAACCATACTTTTAATATTGTCTAGCTACTAGAATATTAGATATTTGGTTTAAAGCATAGCAAAATAAATACTCAATATATTTCTTTTTAATTTTTGAAAAAATTAGACAGAGTTCAATAAATGTTGTATTATGCATTTGGTTCAGAGATGAATAAAAACCATCAGTGAAGAAATAAGTAAAGCTACTCCACTTATCTAGTTTCCTTGAGCAAGCTAATGCATAAAGTAGATTAAGAATTGTTCTGCCTAAATGTGTTATAGCAGCACTAAAGTATTCTATTAATTACAAAAGTATATCCCTCTACTCTTGCCTAATAGTGATCGAGGCTTCTCTGGTGCATTTTTCCTTGCACCTGAAGAACAAAATTTATCCAATAATAATTATTAGAGATTGCTAATTGATTACATAGCTGACTCAGTTTGAAACAGAATATCAATTATCTGGCATACATCATTAATAGGTAGCAGGATCAATTCAGAATAAAGTTACTATTACTCAAAAGTAGAATCCTATGGTACTTCAGGTTGATTAAATCAGTGTACTGTATGGAGACACCAAAAAGAAAAACGTTATAAAAACAAAACAGTGAAATAAGGTATTTATTTAGCATTTTAAAAAATTTTCATCAATTATCCCTGTCCAATATAAGCCACAATGAGTTAATATAAGAGACTAAACCAAAGCCAAACACTTGATATTTATTCATTTATTAAAATTATTTGCTGTCCATCTTGCTTTGAGATGATATTCTACTCACATATGTGCAATATGTTAATCTCTTTATGGTTATCATCAGATTGGTTAAACTTTTCATATAGTGGAGCATCACACTTTTAAAAATGTTAAGCGTAATATCCATTATTCTACTGCATCAATAAATCCCAGAAAAAATTAACATAGAAAAAAAGCATATGGATTTCCCTGTCTAACTTTTGATATGTTTTAAAATAAAAGTTATCAGATTCAGTTTTAAAAAGCAGAAACACTAGAATTTTATAGTCTTCAAATGGAATATGGGTTTTTCTTGTTTATTTTGCTCCTTTGATGAATGTCTCTATGTAACAGTTAAGAAACAGAAGAAAAGAATGAGATGAAAGAAGTTGGAAGTGCCTCTATTGTATGAAAGAATGAGGGGGAAAGCAGTCAGATCAAAAAGTAATAGATACGGTACATGACTTTGAATTTTCTGTGTGAGGAAACTAAGTTTTCATACAGTGCTCAGAATTTTGCACTGAAAGCAAACAAAAATCCTGTGGAATGGAATTCACACTGTACTTCACTAATATATTTGTTGCAGAAGTTCTTAAACTTTGCAGTATCAGAACCCTCTAAACTGATTAATTAATTAAGGAGAGGAGCAACTTCATTTCATTTCATTTCATTTCATTTTAATTTATTTGTATGCCNAAAAAACATGTTTCTCCATTTCTCATTTAGGGAATTATAATATTCTGCCTTTTTAAAAAATATTCCTCCAAATATTTCATTCTTCTAGGAGGTTGAGTGCTGACTTTCTACAATTAATCTGGTTGGTTGTGGATGATGTTGCTATTTAGAACCTATTCCACTCACAGATTATAGTGTTTTTTTTAAGTTTCTCAAAGTTTTTCTTATGACAACCAGTATTGTCATAAGAGCCACAATAAGCCATGTATCTCGGGCCATGATAGGGGAGATACAATAGCATAATGCTTTTGTTCCTGCTTCTACCTGCTATAGTTTCCAAAACAGGCAGATTCCATCTATCTTAGCTACAGTAACTCCAGCTGTTTTCTATAGTCATGCTATCAACTTCCAAGCTATGGAAACTCCTTTATAGAACAATGGTGTTTGAAGAGCCTATTGTTGTTTTCAATTCTCTCTCACTTTGGGTTGAAGTTGCATGTGAAAGAGGACAGAAAGAGTATAAATGGGGATTGTTGCCTAGTCAAATTCTCCACAGAGGAAAAAAAAATCAATTGTCAGGCAGATGTCTATGGGGAGGTAGGTATGTAAGAGAAGTCTTATGCATCTCTCAATGCAATGTTGAAACTTTACAAATTCTTACACCGTCAGAGGGCTGGTCCCCTTTCAATGATGCATCTCCTAGCTTGATTCCTGACAGTCGGCCTTCCTTGATGACAGCTAACTCCAGTCTAGCAATGTT